AGTGCGCTTGGGGACACGGCCACTGTGTTTCTTGTATTCTAATATAAGAAGCAAGGAAGGGATGTGTACAGGGGAGACGATCACTGCCTCCTCTCTTGCCTCTTCCAGGGGAGCATTTGTGGACCCACCCTGCCCATGGCAACCAAAGAGAGTGAAGGTCGTGCCTTGCCTATGACCTCATCCCTTGGGTGGTCAAGGTGACCACACAGGGGCCCACACTGGGAGTCTGCTCAGGTCCTCTGCCCTCTGTGGCTCTCTGCCTGAGGGTGACGTGACCACAGCGAAAGCCTCAGACCTGGCTGCCCCGAGGGGATCCCCAGTATCTGCTCTTCACAGATGACACCCCCTGAGCAGAAGCATGAGGTTGGCAGAGACGCACGTTCCCCTCAGGGCTCCGCTTCTGCTGTTAGGGCTGTGGGCACTCCTGGGGCCTGTCCAGTGCTTCCCTGACCGCCCCTCGTGGCACTATGCCTCAGCTGAGGTGGTGATTCCCAGGAAGCACACACACTATGGCAAAGGCGGGCACGTGCCCGGCTGGCTGTCCTACAGCCTGCGCTTTGGGGGCCAGAGGCACGTCATCCATCTGCGGAGAAAAACACGGTTTCAGCCCACACATCTGCCGGTGGCGACGCAGACTGACCAAGGTGCCTTGCAGATTCAGTACCCCTACATCCCTCTGGACTGTAACTACGTCGGCTACGTGGAGGAAGTTCCTTACTCGATGGCCAACATCGACACGTGCTACGGAGGCCTGGAAGGGATCATGAAGTTGGATGACCGGGCCTATGAAATCAAGCCCCTCAAGGATTCCCTCATTTTTGAGCACATTGTGTCCCAGATAGTGGTGGATGTCAATGAAACAGAGCCTCCATATAGACCTGAAGAGGAGAGGCCCTCACTATTCCATGGGGCTGATGTCACTGCAAACCCCAGGATCCCTAGTAAGGTGTATCTGTACCATCCCATCAGAATAAAAGGCTTTATTCAAAGTCCCAATGAGATATACAAGAAACATGGCAGCAACGTGACACAGACTATAAGATTTATGCTGAGACTGGGTGGTGCAGTTGCAGCAATAGCTGAAAATATAGCTCTTCGGTACATTGTATTTGCCTTGGGCGTATTTGATCAGAGAGACCCAGTGTCACTTACTGACTACAGAATGCCACAAGGTGCTTATTTTCAACTGTACAGACGTCTAATCTGGCAGGTCATAAAACCCAATGCAGCCTTCGTAGTACTTCTGAAAGGACCTTATGAATTAGACGTTGCTCCACCTCTTTATGGTTTATGCAGTGATAGACACTTGATGTTTATTGGACTAAGGGGTAGACACTACTTCTTCGGAGCTGTCATAGCAGCACAACAGGTTTCGAGATGTTTTGGTTTAGAATATGATACCAAGTATTGCCGGTGCCAGAGAAGGGCCACCTGCGTGATGAGCCGGCACCCTGTGTTAACAGATGCGTACAGTAACTGCTCCTATTTGCACATGGCAAACACAGTTGCATCAGGACGAGAGTCATGCCTGTATTCAGAATTTTCATACTATAACAAAACCCATACAGAGTATCTTTGTGGGAACCAAAGAGTGGAACCAGGGGAGGAGTGTGATTGTGGATCCTTCAAGCGATGCTATGCTAACGCATGTTGTCAGACTACCTGCAGGTTTACTCCTGGTAGCATTTGTGATGGGGAAGATTGCTGCACAAACTGCACCTACTCCCCAGTGGGGACACTCTGCAGACCCATCAAGAACATATGCGATCTGCCCGAGTATTGCTTCGGAAACGTACGGACCTGTCCGACGGACCTGCATATGCAAGATGGAACCCCGTGCACTGAAGAAAGCTACTGTTATCAAGGAAACTGTTCTGATCGCACCATGCATTGCAGAGAGATCTTTGGCAGAAATGCTGTGAATGGTGATAGTGTCTGCTATAAAATAAATGCAAAAGGCAACAGATTTGGACATTGTTCCAGGTACCCTTCATCGATGACTCACAATGCTTGCAGTCCACGCGACCTTCTTTGTGGAAAGTTACAGTGTACCAATGTTACTCACCTTCCCCGGTTGCAGGAACATGTTTCATTCCATCAGTCTAAGTATGATAAGTCTTGGTGTTTTGGGGTGGATGAACACCGTCAGACGCAAACCGTTGATGTGGGACATGTGCGAACTGGTACAGTCTGTGCCCCTGGAAAATTCTGTGATAGAAACTCTTGCAATGGCTCCGTATCAAGAATACATTATGACTGTACTCCGGATAAGTGCAATTTTAGGGGACTTTGCAACAACCAAAAGGAATGTCATTGCCATGTAGGTTGGGACCCTCCACTGTGTAAAAAAAGAGGTGCTGGTGGGAGTACGAGCGGTGGGCCACCTCCAAGAAAATTGCGGACCGTAATCCACTCAAAGGAGGCAGTGCAGTATATGAGACTATTGTTTGGTCGCCTGTACGCAATAATAGCGGCACTGCTCTTTGGGGTGGCCACGAATGTGCGTGTAATCAAGACTGTCACTGTTCAGGAAGAACCTCCTCCTGAGCCAAACTAAAGGGAGTCAGGCTTCCACCTCTGTAAACCAGACAACTTCGGAGAAATCAGAAGACGAGATAACAAAGCCTCAAGTCCTGCACATCCACACAAGTCCCTGGGACCCGTGGCACATGGGGGGGAATGTGGGAGGAGTGGGCTCAGTGGACAGCAGCTATTCCTGCATTGGCTGCGGATGCTCACTGTGTCATGCACCCAAATAAATCCTTCCAACCCGCGAGCTGCTTGTCTTCAGTGTTTTGTCATAGCCAAGGAAAGCTGGGGA